AGGAAATTACTAGCAATAAAGCACACGGGGCTGTCTACGCTCGAGACTTCAGTCAGGCATCATCAGACAGCTGGGCGCACAATATGCCGTTAAATGTGCCACAAATGGCGGGCAGAGTAGTGTGAGTGTGTGGGTGTGTATGTGAGTGTATGTGTGAAGAGGCGAGTACAAGGGAACGGTTAAGGAGCTCGGCAAAATCGTTAAAAATCAGCAAGGATTTAAAATGCTTTTAAGATTCAATGCTGAGCTGCTTTTTCGTTTCGTTTCGTTTCAATTTTTGTCGATTTTCTTAGTTCTTTTTTTCCCTCGCTGCCAAATGTTTTAATTTTCTGCTGTTTTCAAGAACCGAGCCACAACCACTAGTATTTAAAGAGCTTTTCCAAAACTTGTTAAATTAAATGAGCACAAACATTTTCCTCTTGAACGAAAATCATAAACCTTTGCTGCCTGTTGTTCGTTCCCTAATTTTCCTAATTTCCCCTCTCTTATTAGTACTCTGCTGTTTTGGCAAAGCGCAAATCTCATTAAATGCTTTAAGAAATTTTTGCACTCGAACGGTCTTGTAGTTCGTTCTCAAGTTTAACAAAACTTAAGTACGTGAACTGCAGTAAATGCCAAAATCAATAAATACATAATTAAAAAGGTAAACGAGCCATTTAAGCTGCTTTCAAAAAATGAGAAAAAAAATAAATACAAACACGCGCACACTTTTTAAATAAATTCCAATTAAAGTTAAGAGCCACACACAGACATTTTGTTGCTGCCTTCAGCATCGTCTTTCTTTTCGTTTCTGTTTCCTGTGGGGGCTTCCGTTCGGGGAATTGTCGCCACATGCCATAACCACGTCCACTCTCCTTTGCTGTCTCACGCGCTCGAGTCAATCACGAACACATTAAGCAAATTGGTAATTTTCTGTGTTATCAGCTCTTAGCTTAGTGTTGCGTCTGAGCCCTCAAGCAGCAATGACCCAAAAGGTGAACAACTTTGATTGCATTATGCCGAGATTTTGCACCAACAATACAGACAAGAAAGGCAAAAGAAAATTAAACTACTTACTGTTGGCCCTCTGGTCCAAGATATAATCCTTAATTTGCGCACAATTCAAATGTTCACAGCGCCACCTGGTGTCAGCATTTCGCATACTTTTTTAGCCAGTTATTTGCAATTTCCTTCTGTTCAATACACTATATGTGAAGGGTATATTAATTTTATAACCATGTGTCTTCTCAACTTTATTTCAATTTTGTAAGTTTGTTTTGTCATAACTAATCTTCTATTTTGATCTTTGATAATAATTTAAGACAAATATTGATGGAATTTTGGGTAGTTGGATCGCACAATATCAGAAAAAATAAAAAATAAAATCTCCACAATGCAGTACTCTGTGTTAACCTATTAAAGAATTTTAACTCAAATTTATACAATTTCAAAGTTTTTACACAAAAAACTTTATATATATTTATCTAGGATTTGTAAAAGTTGGAAACATCAAATATTACAACATAAATATATTGTTTAAATAAAAATAAACTAAACGCAAATAAAAATGTATATCGATTGGAATAGCCACGTATTACCCACCAGCTAAACATGTAAAGCCGAACTAATATTTTTTCTTTTTAAAAAGATTAAAATTTCCATTTCAAAGTTTTGTTCATCTTTAAAAACTTTCACTAAAAACTACCATAGTAATTAGAATATAGAACTTTTAATGCAGGGTATCACAAATTCTGACACGATACAAGTTTTTTTCCCCCTCAACATTACGCAGAAAAAGTTTTGCGCATTCATATCAATTTCTTGGCATTACTTTTGGCCAGTTTGTCTGCTCATTTCGCACGGCATCATTTAATGGCTCAAGTGGAACAGAGATGTAAAAGAAGAGGCAACAAAAACGGAAGAGGAAAAATTGCGAGGACGTCAGACCATTCCCATTTTGTACGCAGAACAGTTAAATGTACGCTGTCAGTAAAAATTGCTGCGTCGTAAGCGGCGACTGAACACATAGTTGAGATTAATGTGCGAAAGGTGGAAAATTACTTGAAGTTCTTAAAAAGCATGCTAAACCATAAATCATTGTTGATATATTTCGGTAAGAAAAGAGCCGAAAAGGTTGAGTAGATTGGGAAAGTAAGCAAATTAAAGCAATTATCTCAAGCAAAATTAATTGAAAATAAGCTGAAAAGGAACAAATTTGAAGAAATTGATAAAATTGAAACTGTGTTTTGTGAATGACTTATATTGCAATTAAAAATGTTATAGTTATTCCACAATTGTTTTTTAAAATAGAGAAGAATATCATGCTTAAGAAGAGTTAAAAAAAACGTAAGGAATTGCCCATTTCTTTTCAAAATATTGTTATTATGTTATTATGTATTTAAAACTCTCTATTGACATTTTTCGGTAGCAGATAACCATTTTAAATAGTTGAACCAACACAAAAAGAGGAAAAAGAAATGAATAACAATCACATCTCTCATTGCATTTTTTCTAATATGGAAAGGTTCTCTTAAAGCTTAAACCAGTACTTTCCATAAATTAAAAGCCCGGTCTTTAAGAATGTTGTCGAGTGTACAAGACAAAGCACACATTTGGTTATGTTTACATGGGAAATGCGACATAGGCATGACACGCGCATATTTACCTCAATTCCCAGAAGCATCACCAAAGGCGTTTTATATAGTTCGAAATGTCATGTGAAACTCGTGGAAGCATACTATGCCCTGCTGCAATAGTAATTTAAAACATTTCATATCAACAGTGAGGGACTGACGCAAAAAGAAGAAGATCCAGCGAGTCAAAGTCCTGCTGCCGCGCTCAGTGGGACGCCTGACATGTTAAGTAGGAGCATACATATGTACATACAAACATATACTCGTTTGCTCATATATAGTCATTCAGGCCAACGGTCGTATTGCAGCAATTCAAAGTGCCAGTCAGTAGGTTGCCTGCCCACACACACAAGCCGTTAAATTATGCAAATTCTTGGAAGCAAAGCAGTAAAAATAAACAAAAGCTGTGACATAAAAGCAACGAAGGTACTCGTATGTACAATCATAAGAACATGCTTAAACACATATGTATGTAGGTTGACACTAAACTTCATTACAGTTTGTGGCACATGTAATTACACCTACTTAGATGCTGGAATACGTGTTTCTTAAGAATTTTTCAACTCTGAAAATAAATGAAAAGAAACAAAAGAACTGGTTTATAATGTCCAAAAATAATCAACGTAGTATACTAGTAAAAGGAATATAATTGTACGTATTTTTAAAGTGGAGCTTTCGAATGAAAGGACATAAAAGATGCATTGCCATAAATCATTGCTAATAGTTTATTAACCTTTTTGATATCAAGTAAAATAATCACTTCTCTACATACCTTCAATTGTCTATTTGATTTGTCTATTTTATTTTTTACGCCTAAAGCTAGCCCGAAAAATTAAATTCCCCCCAAAATGTAAAAGAACCATATCCTGAGCTAAGATTTTGCAGTCCTTCTTATGTACCATTTTCTCTAAGTCACATATCAATTTTAGTTATGTTCTGCTATTAATAAAATTAAAATTAATCTCTCAACTCAACAGCAAACCAATAATGACTTTTCCAACAACCTTTGCTCACCACAGCGTAATGTGCAGAGTACAGTTGTAAAACTTTTGCCCAACTTCAGTTGTACAAACGAATACACAGACAGGGCGCATAACTATACTATATACTTGTATGAGTAAATAGGTTCGGTGTAAAACACTCGAAAACTTCCATTTGCAAACTTTAAGCAAACAGTTGTCGAAAAATTAATTTCATTGGGGTATTGGGAATCAGCGGAGTGCAAAACAAAGTAAAACATTATAAATTTGTTTTTCTAGTTTATTATTTTGATGGAATTTTTATAACTGTCGGGTCAGGTCACTTTCCCAGCGGCAGCTAAATCAAACTTTTCCATCCACTTGGATGAGGCGCAAAAAGAAAGAAAAGCAATTTTCTGCATGCGCTCAAAAACGACTTGAGTATGTAAACCTTGCTAGTAGTGGATTGCTGCCATTTCTCACATTGTTGCTCTTCTTTGTCACATTTCCATTATTTTGCCATTGATTTTTTATATTTGATTTGCAGGACTCTCGACTCGAGCCGCTGGCTTCTGTGTTGGGCTGTGCTGTGTTTTTTGTGTTGTGTTGCACATAAATATCCATTTATTTGTAGGGCCTGCAAAACATTTCAATTTCCGAAAGGGAATGTCGAGCGAAAGGCTGCCTGTGTATAAAAGTATACACGTATACTATATACATATATGCATGGCCCTCAAACAAGGCCAAAAAACACATAAAAACAACAACAGCACTAACGCCAATGTCAAAAGAGCCGCAAGCACACTTTAAGGATTTCATTAGGTAACAAAAAGGCAAGGTCCAAGCATAGTGAAGCACAACAGAAAATGTTTGTTGGCAAATGTTGGATCGCTGCCAGGCAAAATTTGTAGCCATCTTTCAGGCGTCGCTGCTGCCTAAAAAACCAACACACACTTTCACACACTTTCACACACACCTACAAGGCAAATAGGGACAAAGCGGACATTGTACAAAAATTAAAATCATGGCCAAAAGCATATGTAGCTGTTTGCGTCAGCAGAACGGCTTGAAACCACCTTCGGGTCAAATGTCCCACAATTTCGCTTCGCCAGCATTTCTGTTGACTTGCTTGTTATGTTTTTATTATTTAAATATTTGTCAAATATTTACACACACACACATTGTAATTTTAAATAAACAAGCATTCGAATTGAAAATGTGTGAATTGCATTGAAAAAAAAACATTGTTTAAATAAATAAGTAGATAAAAGCATTCACTTTTCTTGGTTTCAACAATCCAATCGACAAGGGATAATAAAATGGCCTTAGCATTCATTTTTTATGCGGCTCTGTGCGTGTCATGAACAGATTGCAAACTCTATTATTTTTTAATGTGTTTTAATCATTTCCAATGACTTCTCTTTTGCAGTGCGATGTCTTCGATGAAATCGACTTATCTGATCTGTGTTACTTCGAGTGCAGCATCAAGAACGTAAATCATAGTTTTCAGGTAAGACACTTTACCTTAATGGTTTTCTTATTCTTACAACATCAGCCGATTTATTTGAATGTGAATGAAATTATAAATTAAAAGCAATAAACAAACAATTAGTTTAATCGTACTCTATTAAAAACAGATTTGGCGCTACGTTTAACTCGAATTTTAAAAATAAAGTGTAACTGTAGTAATTATTAAGTAACTAATAACCGTGAAAAATTCTTCTGATTAGTCTTTCTAGTAAATTTCTCGTGCAAGATCCAAAAGAGTATACAAATTACGTTCAACAATTATTACCGATGATCGACTTACATCGGAAAGGTTTGTTCCCAAATCTCTTTGGATTATATTCCTGATCATATGTATATTAGTTTATAACTCCAATTCTTCTATATAATGATAATTTAGAGCTTATTATTGGCGTTCAAGCTTACAAATATTCCTCGAAATTATTAACATCCACAATTAAAATTCATCAAGGATATGTTTTGAGCCCCTTTACGATGACTGAGTTTTTCGAACAAACGTAAATCAGAATATGATTGTTTTTTAATCATACTTATTATATAAGTATATTAAATATTTTAAAAATTGTTATGTTGTGCCAGCGTAATAATGTACACAAGTGACGACAAAATGCAATTAAATGTTTGAAAAACTTTACAACTCGATTATCGGCTAATAAATTTGTGTCAAGAGCTATGCTGGCTTTTATGCATATATGTAAGTATGTGAAGCCTTTGCAGCAAAAGTTAACATTGAACAAAAGTTCACCTTAACCAAAAGTGAAACTTCTAAAATTAAACATAAAGGGCAGCTTTAATGTTGTTCCTTAAAGGCAGACACTCACCAAATTGAATGCTTAATTCAATGTGAAGTTGCTCTTGTATATGCATTTTCTCTCGTTGGCACAAAATTTCGACAAGCCCTTACGTAATCCTGCTTTAAGTACTCTGCAGCCGCAATACTCATGAGCCTTGTTTGCATTACTAACGGCAACAAAAGGAAGAACAACAAGAGCAAGAAACATAATTACCATGCAACGTAAATGCAAACCGTACGCAACATTTTCTTGAGGCTTATATCGCATTATACTTACTGTGATGTAAACTGCTTAGAACCACTGAGAGTAAGCTTGTTAACGAGTCGCTAACCTCACCTCCCCTCACTACAACCCGACTCCTATCCACTCCACTTCACTCCACACGACATCATTCCCATCGTTTTGTTGTGTTTGACAGCCAACCATTCTTGGCACGTGCCTGACTGCTGCATGTAAAGGTAAGCAAGCTTTTGCATACGTGCCACAAATACTTAACACCAGTTTAAAGGCAGCTAACCATGTTAGCCAAAACCCTGGGAACTACGCTCGTCAAACGCCAACACCACTCGATACAAATGTCTTCATGAGGGGCACGGTGGCAGTCCTCTGAACGTTTTCTCTCTTTCCTTTCTTTTTTTTTGCATACTACTATGCGCTTCATTTTATTTTATTTTATTTTATAGTTTCATCGTAGTGTGATAACCATGGAATTGGTTTTTATATCAACTTGATGTTTTTATGCTTTATTGAAGCTGTTTGCAGCGCTATTCGCACACAGCACACATATACGGGCATAAACATTTTCATACGATGGCGAATGCTTTTATGCTCGTTTATTTTTTATGGCGCCTCTTGCTGTGTGTGACACATAATATGAAGTGGGAATTGCCATAGACATGAACAAGATTATTGAGGTTTTATTTTTTGTTTTCTATAAAAACAAAACATATGTAAAAATATCTATAGGCGGGAGCAAAAACCAAATGCGTTGAAACAAATTACATTTTTAATCTGAAGGTAACATTTTATGATGACATTTACCAAATGTTCTTCCGTAATGAAGTAAATACGATATGTACATACATTATTATTTTCAAATGCTATTGATATATAAAGCATAGCAGATTGAAATTGTATAGTTTGGTGCATTTCATTGCATTGGTGAATTGGTTATCCTTATGCAGCTATTTGCAACTGAAAGGCAAAATATATAAGTTTCTGGTGCTGTTGGTGTTTGAAAAAGAATATCTAATATCACTGAAGAAAAACTTGTTCAGTTACTGTCAAATATTTCTTGATTTTAATGCGAGGAACTATAGAGGAAGCAAACACTCGCTTCAATTTCCAATCTCAGTCTCATTTCTTTACTCAAATTCTGAACTTTTATATACTTTTATTCCTTGCTTTCTTACTGTACTAGTTATGCCTTTCAGGATTTTATTTCCTTATCTATACTCAACTAAATGTGCGAAAGCTGTTTTGGCAATACTCTACTCTTCCGACTTGTTTGCTTATCTGTGACTTTTTGGCTCCAACTATGTTCACTCATTTAATCTTTCTAATTGAGGTAGCTCACTATTTCCCAATTATGGAACTATAAATTGATAAAATCAATTTTGTAGTAGCTGTAAGTGAAAATATAAAGAGCATAGAAGTACATTTGATGTGTTTCAATGGCTTGGTTTTAATTTTTTTTTTTTTGGATGGAAAAATGCTGTGCCGTTTTCCGTTAAATCAAAGTGAGTTTTAAATTATTTATATATGAATAGAGCTTGTTAATAATGCTTACTTTATACTCGTATATATTTGAATAAGAGATGAAAGTTGCGTGGAATTTAAACTTTAACTGTCTGTACTAGAAAACACAGATCTGATTTGAGTAACTATAGTAACTACAAGTAGAGTTTCAATTTTATATCAACAATTTCGCGAGAATCTTACTGCTACCACATAACCCAATGGTAGACAAGACGTTTTCTTTTTTTACAGTACCTAACGAGCTCTACAGGCGTAACCCTCCAACACCTTGTCGTCTGCTTAACTACGCATGCCTGAGGGCATTTTTCTTATGCTTAATGCCACCAAACGCGCTTATGCCACTCAGCCGATAAAAAACAATAAAAGCTGACAGCGTCGGGCAACGACAACGTCGGCGGTAATATCGTTTTCAAAAACTCAAATCGCAAAAGCTTCGGGGCAATATCCTGGGCGCGTTTGTGCGCGGCCTGTTGGGTAAATTTATTATTAATATCATTTTTATGCACATAAAGATAGGTATGTATATGTGGGCTGTGTTCATGTAGATGGGCTTTTATTATTGCGCACATGCACGCAAAACCAACAACAACAGCAAGCAGCCGAGGTGTCGTTTGCCACAAGCAATGCCAAAATATTCTATTTCCTTGACTACGCCGTCACAAAAAGTTTACAAATACTTACATCTATGTATGTACATTTACATATATATTTATAAAGTACCGAACATACCGTAGCTCAAAAGCAATACCAGAGAATAAATGCTCTAATTTTGCGCATCAAATGTTGTGCAGTCGTGCATAAAAAAATATAAATTTAAATATTTGCGCCTGTCCCAAAAGTGTGAGCAGAAAGTGAATGTGAAAGCTGGCACTGGCACTGAAACAGCCACTTCGACTGGTTATGCTAATTTTGCATGCAGGGCGCGTCAAATGTAAACATTTTGCTTAGATTTGGCTGCCATTGTTGCGAAACTTTTCTCCCATTGTTTCAGCAACGTCGACAGCCAATATTGATAACATTTATATGAGGGAATACGAAGGACAGACTAAGACAAATAAAAGAAACAAAAGGCGTTTGGTAAATAAAAACAAAGATGCTCAATACTTGCTAGAGATGGATGTGTGACTGCGAATTCAACAGCAATCGAATATACATATACAAACTATCTACACGATATATATGTACAGTATAAAATAAATATAATGCATTACTTTAAATTTTGCATATAATTGTCAATGAAATTCAGTCACTGCATTAAATTATCAGCTACGATTTAAAACTAAGATTACTAAACTAATTCACACATATTTTGCATTAGCTTTGAAGTTGTCTTTTTCCATTAATACTGCTCCCAATGACTTCGAATCGACTCTCAGTTTCACGAAAACTATGTGAGAATTCAAGCAATTGCCCTTACACAACTAAGTTGTGTTAATATAATGTAATCGTTCTTGCCGTGTCTCTTTTTTTATTTTATTTATTCATATTGCGGTTAATTCTGTATTTTCTAAGTAGCAATGAAGTTTATTTTCAAGCCCTGTTTATGCTTTTCAGGGGTTTCTTACGATACACACATCTCTAGTTTTCTTTTACAATTGCTTCTTCTCTGTTATCGATATATCTTAAGCAAATCTTGATTCTAGTCGATTTATATATTAGATATTAGATTACATGTTAATCATTTCGAAATTTTATTATCACATTTACAAATGAAAAATTTCTCTCCTTTAGAAAATGTGTATTCAACATTAAATTGCATTTATATTCATAATATTTGCCATAATATATGCCACTCACGGCATTACGCCCATCTCTAGTCTCAAGCTATGCGACTCGCCTTATAATTGGGCGTACGAGGTGATTTTGTGGATTTGCATGGTGGCTTTTGCCTCCGCTGCTTAGGCCAATTTTGTTTCCCATTCTTGTTTCCCTCTCATTTCATTTCTTTTTCTTTTTTTTTTCTTTGTTAGTGGCAAACCGCAGGGCAAAAATGGCCGTGATTGCTTGCAGCTTAGGCAATAGCAACGGTAAACAGGAAATGATGTTCCTTATGCCATTGTTTGACAACGGGAAACAGGCGAACGTTAAGCCAATATATGTTCCGAGTGTATTGCGTATCGTATTCCTTTATTTACAGTTGCTGTCATCCTTTGGCAATTGATAGGCGAACACAACAATATCATCGTGGGTCTTCCAACTTTTAGTTGAATTTCTTTGTGATTTTTTCATAGTTGTTATTCTGCTTAAAGCCAACACATTGAGACGCACATGAGTTTCTCCTAGAAACATTGCCTAACTAATTAAGTAAATTACGCAGCAAAAAAAAAAACGAAAATACAAATAAAATATTCACACCTTGGCGGAATAGAAAAGTCATTTGGCGAAGTTTGTTCATAACAACTTTATTGCATTTCATCGCTTAATTAAGTGC